TTTTATATTTTTCTAATACTTAGAAAATGTTTTGATACAAGTTCCATTATGTTTTTGATATTGTCTGTTTGTATAATAAATTTAAAAATAGTTATTGGGTATTTTATTAACAACTGCAAGTTTGCAACATTCACATTTATACTCTCTATTTCGGGCAGGGGCTAGTACAGTCTGTCTTCGCAGATTAGCAATTGCTCGAAAAATAACCACCAGAATTCCATTTAAATGGGCGCATTCAACTCATTTAACTCTAAGGAGTTAAGTTCAAAATTCTAATTTCTCATAATCTGCCCTCACAAGGGTTAATTGAGCTGTGTATAGAAAGAGGTTTGGTAATAAGTAATACATATTTTATGAAAATGAGGATAAATAAGTATACAAGGTATGATATAGCACGTAATGAAAGTAGTTTGTTAGATTATGTACTAGTGGATAAAAGGTTGATGGGTAGGCTTCAGGATGTACATGTTTATAGAGGGGCAATTGATATATCGGATCATTATTTAGGTGTAACTACAGTTAGAGTAAGAGGTAGATGGGACAAGAGGAAAATGGCAACAACAAGAGGGAGGTGAAAGTGTATAAACTAAGAGAGGAGGAAGTTCGGGTAAGATATAAGCAACTATTGGCAGAAAGGTGGGCTAGTGCAAGTATGAGTAGAGGGGAGGGGGGTGTTGATGAGGGTTGGAATAGTTTTAAAAATGCAGTATTAGAATGTGGGGCAGAAGTTTGTGGTTATAGGAGGGTGGGTGCAGGAGAAAAGAGGAGTGACTGGTGGAATGATGATGTAAAGGGTGTGATAAAAGAGAAAAAGGTAGCTTATGAGAGGTTTTTACAAAGCAGAAGTGTTATAAGAAGACCAGAGTATAAGGAGAATAAAAGAAAGGTGAAGAGAGTGGTGAGAGAGTGCAAATGGAGAGCAGATGATAGAGTGGGAGAGGCATTGTCAAGAAATTTTAACCCTTTCAGGGTCACCAGGCCCTCTCTGAGACTTGTTCTCAGGGTCGCCAAATTTAAAAAAAAAAAAAAAATACCCCTGAACCCCCCCTTTTACCAACCTATTCACCCTGGCAGTTAAAGCCCCTTATAACACCAATAAATTCCCTATTGTTAGTCCTCTATAACCCTCAGAAAAAACCTCATCCCACCTTTTCCCAAAAATGTCTCTAAAGACAGAGAATCTTTTTCCGATCATGACACCAAAAGCATGTAATTTGATGGAAAACTTACGGAATTATGCTCTCGCGAAGTTAGCGGTCTCGACGATGTTCACACATCGGCGGTTTGGCCCACTTTGAGCCCTATTTTCAGCCAATTCCAGTGTACTAGTCGACAAAACTCTTAGCTATTTCGCTAGAGCTCCACTTTTTCTATCAAATGAGTACAAGAAACCACCCATTTACCAATTTCAACTATCCAATAAAGTGGTCAGAATTTAGCAATTTTGCCAATTTCACAAACATTTCAAAAGATGCCAATTTCCGAATAGGATCCAGAATAAACAAGAAAGACATTCCTGGCACTAAAATAACATTTCCTCTGTTCATTAGTCACATCCCCACGCCCCTCTTACATTCTTTTGCTTTCCACTTTGAATTTTTATTCTCACAAAAAAACAGAAGATTTACTGTTATGCAGACTACTGCCTTAGTGTAGAAATGGTATAAATAATATCAGCACACTTGTGAAAGAATATTAGACTCATCAGTTGATGTGTATTGGACGCATAACATGATTTGTTTACTTTTGAACTTTGGTAAAAATCGAACATTTCTGCTACTTTGAGCTCAATTTCAAGGTACTTTTCATTGTAAAACCAGTCAAAATCATATCAATTTCTGTATTATGTCTTCTGTTCTATAAAATGAGAGCAGGAAAACTAAAATACAACAATAAATACCATAAAAAAATACAGTGCAAAGTCGCTGTTTTAATCCAAAAACACGGTCAGTTTTTTTCTCATTACGCACTGTGTGCTGCAGGATTTTTTTTATACTGCGCACAATGACCACAGAGACCCATTCTTTCATATGTAGGCCTACAAGCTTTCTCTCACTAGATTTGAGGGCGTTAGAATTTAGGCATACTAGTACGTCAAAAAGCCTGGTGTGTAAGCCGTACTAGTACGTCCGAAACCCTGAAAGGGTTAATGAAAACCAGAAAAATTTTTGGAGATAAACAAGTTAAGAAAGCCTAGGGAACAAATGGATTTGTCAGTTAATAACAGAGTAGGAGAGTTAGTAGATGGGGAGATGGAGGTATTGGGTAGATGGCAGAAATATTTTGAGGAAATTTTAAATGTCAACGAAGAAAGGGAGCCGGTAATTCCAGGCATTGCCCAGGGAGGTATACCATCTTTTAGGAGTGAGGAAGAGCAGGATGTGAGTGTGGGGGAGGTGCACGAAGCATCACGTTGAATGAAAGGGGGTAAAGCAGCTGGAACTGATGGGATCATGAGAGAAATGTTAAAAGCAGGGAGGATATAGTGGTAGAGTGGTTGATATTTTTGTTTAATAAATCTATAAAAGAGGGGAAGGTACCTAGGGATTGGCAGAGAGCATGTATAGTTCCTTTATATAAAAGGAAGGGGGACAAAAGAGACTGTAAAAATTATAGAGGAATAAGTTTACTGAGTCCTAGGTAGTTGGTTGGTAGACAGCAAAAACCCAGGGAGGTACTACTGTCCTGCCAAGTGTAAAACAAAAACCTGTAATTGTTTTACATGATGCTAGGATTGCTGGTGTCCATTTTTCTGACTCATAAACATGCAAGATTTCAGGTACGTCTTTCTTCTTCTACTTACACTTAGGTCACACTACACATACTTGTACAAGCATATATATATACACCCCTCTGGGTTTTCTTCTATTTTCTTACTAGTTCTAGTTTATTTCCTCTAATCTCCATGGGGAAGTGAAAAAGAATTCTTCCTCCGTAAGCCATGCATGTTGTAAGAGGTTACTAAAATGCCTGGAGCAAGGGGCTGGTAACCTCTAATCCTGTATATATTACTAAATGTAAAAGGAGAAACTTTCGTTTTTCCTTTTGGGCCACCCCACCTCTGTAGGATACGGCCTATGTGTTGAAAGAAGTTTACTGAGTATACCAGGAAGTGTGTACAGTAGGGTTATTATTGAAAGAATTAGAGGCAAGCAGAATGTAGGATTGTGGATGAACAAGGAGGTTTTAGAGTGGGTAGGATTTGTGTAGATCAAGAGTTTACATTGAAGCATATATGTGAACAGTATTTAGATAAAGGTAGGGAAGTTTTCATTGCATTTATGGATTTAGAAAAGGCATATGATAGAGTGGATAGGAGAGCAATGTGGCAGATGTTGCAAATATATGGAAAAGGAGGTAAGTTACTAAATACTGTAAAGAGTTTTTATGAGGAGAGTGAGGCTCAGGTTAGGGCATGTAGAAGAGAGGGAGACTACTTCCTGGTAAAAGTAGGTCTTAGGCAGGGATGTGTAATGTCACCATGGTTGTTAAATTTATTTATAGATTGGGTTGTAAAAGAAGTAAATGCTAGGGTGTTCGGGAGAGGGGTGGGATTAAATTATGGGGAATCTAATACAAAATGGGAATTGACACAGTTACTTTTTGATGATGATACTGTGCTTATGTGAGATTCTAAAGAAAAATTGCGAAGGTTAGTGGATGAGTTTGGGAGTGTGTGTAAAGGTAGAAAGTTGAAAGTGAACATAGAAAAGAGTAATGTGATAAGGGTATCAAATGATTCTGACTAAGAAAAATTGGATATCAAATTGGAGGAGGATGAGTATGGAAGAAGCAAATGTTTTCAGATATTTGGGACTTGACCTGTCAGCAGATGGATCTATGAAGGATGAGGTTAATCATAGAATTGATGAAAGAAAAAAGGTGAGTGGTGCATTGAGGTATATATGGAGACAAAAAAAAAACATTATCTATGGAGGCAAAGAAGGGAATATATGAAAGTATAGTGGTACCAACACACTTACATGGGTGTCAAGCTTGGGTTGTAAATGCTGCAGCGAGGACGCGGTTGGAAGCAGTGGAGATGTCCTGTCTAAGGGCAATGTGTGATGTAAATAGTATGCAGAAAATTCGGAGTGTGGAAATTAGGAGAAGGTGTGGAGTTAATAAAAGTATTAGTCAGAGGGCTGAAGAGGGGTTGTTGAGATGGTTTGGTCATTTAGAGAGAATGATTCATAGTAGAATGACATGGAAAGCGTATAAATCTGTAGGGGAAGGAAGGCGGGGTAGATGTCATTCACAAAAAGGTGCAGGAAGGGGGTAAAGGAAGTTTTGTGGGCAAGGGGCTTGGACTTCCAGCAAGCATGCATGAGCACGTTAGATAGGAGTGAATGGAGACGAATGGGTTTAGGGACCTGACGATCTGTTGGAGTGTGAGCAGGGTAATATTTAGTGAAGGGATTCAGGGAAACCGGTTATTTTAATATAGCCGGACTTGAGTTCTGGAAATGTTAAGTGCAATACCTACACTTTAAAGGAGGGGTTTGGGATATTGACAGTTCGGAGGGACATGTAATAGGACAGTATATATATAATTGGGGGCCCTGATATTATATTCTATAGGGAGCTTTTTATATTTAAGGTCACTTTTTATATTGTAGTTTTATATCCTTCTACACTGTTGTATCTCGGCACCTCTGCAAAAACAGTGATTGTGTATGAGTGAGGTGAAAGTGTTGAATGATGACGAAAGTATTTTCGTTTTGGGGATTTTCTTTTTTGGGTTACCCTGCCTAGGTGGGAGATGGCCAACTTGTTGAGAAAAAAAAAAAATATTCACTCTAGTTGTTTGAATCTCTTATCTAGGACAATTCTAAGATCCCAAGCTGAACCTTAAGCCTGTCCTTTCCCATGCAGGATGCAGGGTGATACTGAGAGCCAAATTTTAGGGAAAAAAAAAAAATTATACGCCACAAAATATGGTAGAGGCTGTACTAATATAAAACCTTTCAATTTACACAATAAAAAAGAACATAACAAACCTTGAAATATCCTGCAGTTGAAAACTTGTGATAGATAAGAACTCCTTTATCTTCGTAAGTTCGAAATTCCAGCGAGACATTCAGTGAACGCTGATCTTCAAATGCTGGATACCGAAGATGAGCTTCCCGCTTTAGGAACGTGAGGGTCAGTTCTGCCGAGTCTCCAAACTGTAGAAAAGAATACGTAATCTAAGTATAAACACATTACTACTACGAGATATGGTAACAATATTCTAAACTAGGTGCAGAATCAAATGTCGAATGGTAGGCAGAAGGATAAGAAGGAAAAGAAAGAGAAAAAGAAAGAAAATGAACGAGAGAGAGACAGAGAGAAAGAGAGAAAGAGAGAGAAAAAGAGAGAGAAAAAGAGAGAGAAAAGAGAGAGAAAAAAAGAAAAGAAAAAGAAAAAAAGAGAGGAAAGAGGGGAAAGAGAGAGAAAAAGAGAGGAAAAAGGAAAAGAAAAAAGAAAGGGAAAAGAGAGAGAAAAAGGAGAAAAAGAGAGAGAAAAGAGAAAAGAGAGAAAAAGAGAGGAAAAAGGGGAGAAAAGAGAGAGAAAAAGAGAGAGAAAAAAGAGAGAAAAAGAGAGAGAAAAGAGAAAGAAAAAGAGAAAAAAGAGAGGAAAAAGAGAGAGGAAAAAAGAGAGGAAAAAAAAAGAAAAAGAGAGAAAAAAGGAAAAAAGAGAGAGAAAAAGTAGAGAAAAAGAGAGAGAAAAAGAGAGAAAAAGAGGAGAAAAAAAGAGAGAGAAAAAGAGAGAAAAAAAGAGAGGGGAAAAGAGGGGAAAAAAAGAGAGAGAAAAAGAGAAAAAAAAGAGAGGAAAAAGAGAGAAAAAAGGAGGAAAAAGAGAGAGGAGGGAAAAAGAGAGAGAAAAAGAGGAAAAAAGAGAAAAAGAGAGAGAAAAGAGGGAAAAAGGGAGAAGAAAAAAAGAGGGAAAAAAGAGGAGAAAAAAAAGGGGAAAAAAAGAAAAAGAGAAGAAAAAGTTGAGAGAAAAGAAGAGAAAAAGAGAGAGAGAAAAAGAAAAGGAAAAAAGGGGAAAAAGAGAGAAAAAAGAGAAAAAGAGAAAAAAGAGAGAGAAAAAGAGGGGAAAAAGGGGAAGAGAAGAAAAGAGAAGAGAAAAGAAAAGAAGAAGAGAGAAGAGAGGAAGAGAAGGAGAGAGAGAGAGGGAGGGGGAGGAAGCGTGCCGTGGCTCCACAAACTTTCTTAATTTTATTTAAACCCTTTACTGTCGAAACCCCCCAAAACCTGAGGTGTCTCCGGTGTGCAAAATTTAAAAAAAAAAAAAAAAAAAAAAAAAAAAAAAATTTTTATAAAAATGATAGAAAATTTTTTCCCCCATTGTAAACCCCGAAATTTGAGGGGAAAAACTGAGGGAGTTATCCCTTCGGAAGTTAGCGACCTCGGCGATGTTTACAAATCGGCGATTTCGCCCATTTTGAGCCCTATTTTCGGCTAATTCCATTGTTCCAGTCGACCAAACTCATAACTATTTCTTTAGAACTCCATTTTTTCTATCGATTGAGTACAAGAAACTGCCCATTTACTGATTTCAACTACCCAATAACATGGTCAGAAATTTGCAATTTGGCCAATTTCACAAAAATTAAAAAATATGACAATTTCAAAATAAGGTCCAGACATTCCTGGCTCTAAAATAACATTTTCTTTGTTCATCAGTCATGTCTTCAGGCCCCTCTGATATTACTCTTGCTTTCTATTTTGAATTTTTATTCAAACAAAAAATAGAAGACTTACTATTATGCAGACTACTGCAATACTGTAATAATTGTATAAATAACATGAACCCATTCATGACTGCATATTAGAATGGCTAGTTGGACATTTATTGGACAATGACATCATTTGTTTACTTTTGAACATTGGCAAAAATCCAACACTTCCCCTACTTTGAGCTCAATTTCCAGGTCCTTTTTATAGTAAAATCAATCAAAATCACCTCTATTTCTATAATATGTTTTCCATTCTATCAAATGAGACCAAGAAAATGAGAATACAACCATAAATACTATACGAAAATAGACCACAAAGTCGGCATTTTAATTAAAAAAATGGTCGGAGTTTTTTTTTTCTCATTATGCACTGCGTGCTCCAGGATTCTTTTTATATGGTGCACACTGACCACACAGACCCATTCTCTCACATGTGGGCCTACCAGCTTTCTCCTGCTTGATTTGAAGCCGCTAGAATTTATGAGTATATATATGTCAAACACGGTACCTCGTTAGACGTATATATACGGCCGCGACAGTCAAAGGGTTAAATACGAGGGTTGGTGAGGATAAAAACTGTTCAGTGACGAAGTACTACCAACAACACATTAGTACAAGTAAGCCAACTCCTCCACTGAAGTGAATATAAGCAATATCAGTGATATTTATGTGTGGTATGGTGAAGATATGGTGTGAGTGAGGGGACAGTGGCAGGCCTTTTTTTTTTTTTTTTTTTTTTTTACACAGGGTTTGACAAGGTTAAGGATACCTAGCTTTATTGACAAGCTATTTACAGGTTAAGGATTCGTAACTTTATTGGCAAGCTAAGAGCTGTTACCTACATCAGCTCATTTGAAAGCATTTTTATTGAGACATACAAGTAGGAAACAGGATGAAATTGGAGCCATCTGTGGGCCAGCATTTTCACTTGATCAACTGACTTTATCTCGTTGACATCATTATGCTGTACGAATGTGTTCCATACTCGAGTCATCCTGGGTATATATGATCTCAGATGGAGTGATGTTCTGGAGAAGGGTACAGCCAGAGTGAAGTTGCTGCTTTCTGCCCGTCTTGTGGCATAAAAGCTTGTTTCACGCTGTCCTCGAAGTGGATCCAAGTGTGGTACTTTGACAATATTGGCCTTGTACATAACAGTAAGGCCACCCACATCCCTCCTATGTTGAAGGCTCTGCTGAAATGACAGATCTATCCAGGATGGGTCCAGGCGAGAGATGAGATCGTCTTGCTCTGTTCTCTACTCTGTCAAGCAGTCACAGATAAGAAGGGGAGCAGGGAAACCAAGAAAGTGGAGCATACTCAAGGTGTGAGCGTATTTGTGCCTCGTACAGAATCTTGCAACCCCTACTGTCAAGTAGATGTGAGATACGGCGAAGTGCTGCAACCTTCCTGGCTGCCTTGTTTGCAAGATTTACAACATGGTTAGTTTGGAGTCAAATTTCACCCCAAGGATATCAACTTCTTCTTCAGGTGCCAACACCCTCCCATTCATCCTTACTACTGCACCAACATTACCATCATGGTGCCTAGAGACCATCATCATTTGCATTTTCTCAGGTGCAAATGTTACTTGCCATCTATTTCCCCAAGCTGATATAGCTCTCAGCTGGTGATTGATGTAGCTTGGAGCAGCTGGCATTTCTTCTCTTGGATAAGTGAATGTCAGTGTACAGTCGTCTGCATATGCATGTGATTCTGGGATGAGATGAAGAAGGTCGTTGAAGTAGACATTCCATAACAATGGTCCCAGCACGCCTCCTTGTGGAACACTTGCCCCAATAGGATGTCTTGCTGATTCCGTTACACTGAGAACTACACTTAGAGATCTACCATGAAGGTAATCACTGAGGAGACATAGCGTAGAGCCTGCAATTCCCAGTGCTTGAAGTTTTACTAAGAGGCCCTGGTGCCACCCCCGGGTTCGAAAGCGCCAGAAATGTCCAGTGCTACCACACAGCTGACTTTGGATTCATCCAGTGACTGGTGCCACTTAGTGGAGAGGTTTAACAACACATCAGCAGCAGAGTAACCTTTCCTGAAGCCATATTGGCGATCACAAAGTAGTGAGTGATAGTCAAAAAACTCTGTCATTTGTCTTGAGATTATTGTCTCAAGGATCTTACCATTTTTTTGGCAGGAGTGACACTGGTTTTGTAGTTGCTGATTTCTGCTCTGCTCTTCTTTTGTGAACAGGGACTAACATTGCCCTCTTTCCCCATAGAGAGGGCCATTTTACACTGTACTAGGCAGTGCTGAAAGATGCGAGTTAGAGTGCTGCTAGCTGGTCTGCAACATCTTCTCAGCAATCTTGGCTCAACTTGTCTGGGCCCACAGCCTTTTCTTGGGTCAAGCGATTTAAGAAGAAAATGCACCTCCTCCTGCCTTATTGTCACCACTGACAGCTTTGACACAGTTTCTTGCAGCTAGCCAAGGAGGGCCCCTTTGCTGAATCAGGACTTGCATTTTGGTAGCAAAGTGTTCAGCAAAAGAGGTCCGCCTTCTCTTGACTACTAGTAGAGGTGGTCCCATCCTGAAAAATTTAAAAATTTAGGGGGAATGATTTTCATCAGGCAGATAACCTTGTCTGTCCTTGACCAGGGACCACCAGGTTTGGAGCCTACCCTCCCTGATGCTAGCTTTCTTTTAGTGTCCACCTCCCATTTAGCAATGGCCCACTTTTGAACGTCACCCATATGCCTACAGGCTTGCCTGCACAAGTTCCTGTTATAGGTGGTAGGATGTCTCTTATACCTTCGCCTTTGCTTTGTACTTAGCAGTAGCAGCCTCCTCAACGAAAGCCAAACCAAGGCTGATCTGTAGGCTTCGTCACATATTGCCGGTGAGGAATGTTCTTGTTGTAGATTAAGGATGTGTCCAGTGAAGGCTTTCACTTGGTTGTCAACATCCCCTTGGAGAAGAGCATTCCAATCGGTGGTGGTGAGCTCAGAGCAAAGGGCTGGCCAATTACCTCTTTCCCATAGCCAGGTTGTGCGTGTGGACTCCTCACCTCGTTCTGCTGGGATCTTAAGTGTCGTAAAAACAGCCTTGTGGTCAGACGATCCAACATAGCCGAGGGATTGACAAGTGACTATGCCTTCTGCCAGATCACTCACTACTGGGTCAAGGGATGAGAAGAGACAGGCAAGGGCAAGGAGGTGGTGTTGCTGTGTTCTTCTCTAAAAGTGTTCATGCCCAGCACATTGATGTTGCCACCCCTACACATCTTGAAATGATGTTCTTCAAGCTCTGCATAAACACTAGTACCTCTGTACTAGCATGTGCAATGTACAGACCTCAGTGGCAACATGCAGACCCCATCAACATCCTAATGGAAAATATTGACTCCCTTCTGCTACAACACAACTGTCGACATATCATAATTGTTGGTGACCTCAACCAGCACCTTATACAGAGGGACTTTGA